ATGCACGCTCATAGCAGCATTATTTACAATAGCCAAAAGGTGGAAGCCAAGCAAGTGTCCATCAATTACCCCATGATAAATGGGTAATCATAGAGACAGAAAGTAGAATGGTGGTTGCCAAGGGCTGAGGGGAGGGAGCAAGGGGGGTTGTTATTTAATGGGTACAGAATTTCAGTTTTGCGAGATGAAAACAGTTCTGGAAATTGGTTGCACAACAACGTGAATGTGCTTAACGCTACTGAACTGTACACTTAAGAAAGCTAAGGGGGCTGGCCCCGCGGCCGAGGGGTTAAGTTCACGCACTCCGCTTCGCTGGCCCAGGGTTTTGCCAGTTTGGATCCTGGGCGCGGCCATGGCATCGCTCATCAAGCCACACTGAGGTGGCATCCCACATGCCACAACTAGAAGGACCCACAACTAAAAATATACAACTATGTACCGGGGGCTTTGGAGAGAAAAAGGAAAAATAAAAAAATCTTTAAAAAAAAATGGCTAAGATGGTAAATTTTATGTTATATGTATTTTACCACAATTAAAAATAAAAATTTTTTTCTGGGCATGGTGTCTAGAGGTTTTCAGAATGGTCTGGCGTTTGACATACGTCATACGTCATAGGCCATCCTACAGTACAGCCTCTAACAAAACTAGGCTGTCCCAAACCCGTGGTAATAGAATTGTTTACCTGGATACCAAGAAGCTTGGGAAAGCACCAAAGTCTGCATATGGCATGTGTCCAGGCTGACTTTGAGGAGTTTGTGCTGTGAGACTTAAAGTTCTCATGAGGTTGTCTAAAACAAAAAACACGTCAGCGGGGCGTGTGGTGGTTCCATGGGGGCTAAATCTGTCTGTGACAGGATGAAGCATGCTTTCCTTATGGAGGAGCAGAAAAACATTGTGAAAGTGTTAAAGGCTCAAGCACAGAGTTAGAGGGATAAATTTTTAAAATGAAGCTTTTTTGAGTTATTAAAAAAAATTTAAGGGCAATTTAAGCTTGAGGTGGGGGGTAGAGTTAAAGAAAACATTTTTTGAGTCCAGATGAATCTAGACAGATTGACTTCAGAAGTAGCTGAGGACGTCAGCTGGTAACTCAGGCTGGATGCCGAAATCCCTGAAGTCCAGGAACAAGACTTCCTGGCTATTTGGTTAGAACAGAAGTATAGACAGTCCCGTCCATTTCCGATTTGGGGGGCTCTTTTATTAAACAATGAAGAATGCCAAGGTAGGATTACAAAATTGCAGTATATTTTAAATGTTCACCTGTAATTGACTAATACTTTAACATAAAAGATGCAATAAAATATAATTGTACTATTCACAGAATTTTAGTGAAATATGAATCCATTGTGCATTTTAGGCAGCAAGACCAGTCACTAAGCCACACTTTTAAATCTAATTGATAAATATCTTTTTTCATTTCTCTCAGGGCCTCTCTGTGACTGTATGTTTAATCCTATTCGGAAATAACACCAACAGTCTAAATTTGAGACCTGTTGAAAAAGTGAGTGAGGCCCAGGCGGAACTGCCCTCCTGCCCACCGCCCTATAGCTCCTTGCATGATAGGGCCAAGATGTGGTAGATATGTACGAGGGAATACTACTCAGCCATAAAAAAGACAAAATCGTTCCATTCACAACAACATAGATGGACCTTGAGGGTACTATGTTAAGCAAAATAAGCCAGACAGAGAAAGACAAACACCATACGATTTCACTCACATGTGGAAGATTAACAAACACACGGACAAAGCGAACAGTTTGGTGGTTACCAGAGGGGAAAGGGGTTGCGGGGGGTGAAAGGGGTAAAGGGGCATATATATCGGGTGACTGACAAATAATAATGTACAACTGAAATCTCACAATGTTATAAACTATCACAACCTCAACAAAAAGAAAAAAGAAAAGACCTTCTCCTGAGAATTTACTTTGGTTTCACGGGTTGACAGAGATGTTTCCAAATGTCTAACCCTCAGTCTCCTGCTCTTTTCTCTCTACACGGATTCAGCAATTGCATCTATACGGATGTGTCTAAACCCCCACCCCTGCCCGACCTCTCTGGTAACTCCAGTCCCACATTTCTACAGGTCTGAACAAAGTTCCACTTGGCGGTCCGACCAAGGCTGGCCCCAAAGCTCAACGCTCCAAATTGACCTCATCATTCTTCCTCCTCCCAGGCTTGAAACCTAGGAATTATTTTCAACTCCTACCTCTCGCTTGGCACAGGGATCCAGTTAGTCACCACAGTGTAGTCACCCGCTGCTGGTAATGACTTTCACACTCATCCCACTGTAGCTGGCTGTGAGATGGCAGTGGGTGTACAACCTGTCACACAAATCAGGCAGGATGGAACTCCACCCGGAATAGACTGGCATCGGCGTGGAAGTCTGTTACAAACATTAAAGGTGATGTGTGTTGGGGCTATGGGAGGAGATGAGAAACTGTAGTCAAGGTCAATGCCAGAATCGCAGGATGGGGGGAGTCAGACAAGCAGGGCAAGCCTAAGCATTGAAGTCGTGAGGTAAGAGCAGACCTGGGAGCTGAGCTGGTGGGGGCTCTTGGGGAAGAGGATGGAGCTCTCACTGGCTCCTAGGGACTGAGTTTTGCTTTGGGGGGTGGGGATGGGATCCCCTTGGGAAGGCCGCGCCTCTGCTTTCTCAGCTGTCTTGTGTCCAGGCCTTGTAGAACTGTGTCTCTCTAACGCATTTCCTCCTTTCCCTCCTCCAGCCTCCACCTCAGTTCAGAGTGATCCCTTATTTGCCTGAAATTTGGGAACAGTCTCACTACCTGGCATCAGGCCACTATGCATACAACCTTGGAGGGGGAGCGACTAACATCTACTGCACACCTGCCGAGGCCTTTTGTGTATTTTATCACACTCACCCTGGCAGCAATGCATGAGGTAGATGACGACATCTGACATTTGTTTGACGCCTTTGGTTTTTGTTTTATTTTCAGTAACACTAGTTCATTTGATCCTGTGGCAACTCAGTGAGGTGGCCAGAGCCCTATTTGGTGGATGAGAAAACTGGGGCCAAGAGGAATTAAACTGATACCCAAAGGCACCCAGGTCCTCATTACTCAAAGTGTAGTCTGTCAGTATCACCTGGGAGCTCATTAGAAACACAGGATCCCAGGCCCATCCCAGGCCACCAAACCAGAATCTGCATTTTAACAAGAACCCCAGGTGATTTGCCAGCACATTAAAGCTGGGTAGTTGTTGGAGTCTATACTGGAAACCAGCCTTACATAGCTAAGTTAGCGACATTTAGCAATGTTTGACACAAATACCCCAAAGTGACCTGCAACTCTCAGAGTCAGCCATCAGTGGGGAGTGAAGCTGACAGAGTCAAGGATGGACGGGGAGAGAAGAGTGGAAAAGGGAATTCAAGTCATGGGGCATTTGTGGAGGTTCTGCTGTGTGCCCGCTGTTGGGGCTCCAAGCATCCATAGCAAGGAGACCCCAGAGCAGAGAGTGAGGCTGGGGAGCAAGACACGGAACCCATCAGGGAAGACTGCACCCAGGACACGGGGGCAAGCTAAGTGGTGTGGCTGGACAGCTAGTGCTGGAGAAGGTGCTGGTCCACCAGAAGAGGAGGGCCTCCCTGAGTGGAGGCAGAAGGAAGGCAGGACGAGGCAAGCAGGCCTGGGGTGTGGCGGGCCCTTCAGACCAGACAAGTGGGTGCGGGTTCCGTCTAGGAGGCAGTGTCTTCGGAAGGCCTTGGCTGGAGGATATCTTATGCTCATTTCTCCCCCTTTGCTTCCCTCAGCAGTCTCTCCTTTCTCAGGGAAACCTCTGTGTTTACAATCTCCCTTAGGCCATTGCCACTTGTAGACCTGCTTCCACCACTTCTCAACATCCAGAATGAGTCCATCAGGCTCCTTTCCCTCCTTGTGAGTCTCAATAAAACCACCACTTTTCACGCAGTCGCTCAGCCACTCACCTTGGGAGTGGTCTCTGAGTCCTCCCTTTCTTATGACCTCCACATTCAGTTTGATTGCTTCTGCCTCTGAATTGTCTCTGATAAGAGCCCTTTATCTCTAAATGGTCTCCCTGCCTCCAGCTCACACCCAGGAATCTCTGGAGGCTTCCCTTGAGTCCAAATTCCACAGCCTGGGATATTGTTCTTAGCTCTCCACACCTTCCTCCCCCCGACTGTACTTCTCACCTTGCCCAGCCCTCCTTTTGAGAGAGACATCCCCATCCCCCACCTCCATCCCTCAGATGCTTCTTGCCCATTCCTGCTAGTCTGTCCTCTGCCTCGAGAGACCTCCTGTCTTGGTGTCTTCCCTCCAAAGCCTGCCTGTCTTTCTATACCCATTATATGCCTTCGCTTCTCTTATGTTGAGATTAGAACCAAGGATTTGTGACTAGTGCCCAGATTATAATGATGTTCCTTCTTATGCACAGATGTCACAGAAAAGACTGGAATAAAGTAACAACACGGTAACCATGGTGGTCTTTGGATTTTGGGCAATTGATATTTTTTCTTTATACCTTTTAAAAATACTTTCCAGGCTGAGCACATTATTATGCTATAGTTATATATATATAATTATATATATTATGCTATAATTATACAGAGTACATAAACTTTATTATGTTTCTAAGGAATGAATTGAAGCTAGGGAGAGGCTAACGGGCAGGATACTGTTCAGGAAGGTGGCGGTTGGGCGAATCCAGGTGGTTGACTTTGGGAGGATCCAGAGCTGGAAAGAGCAGTGGTTAGGGTTAGTCCAGACCTGGGCTTGAAACTCAGCTTTGCCCTTCACTCTGTGACCTTGGGCAAGTTAGCTAACCCTCTGAGTTTCTATGTTTGCTAGTTGTGTGGCCTTGGGGAACAAGCGGGCCTCTCTAGGCCTGATTGATTCAACAACTTTAGTAACTATAGAGCAACGTTCCAGGCACTGTTCTAGATGCTGGAGTCTAACAGTACACAATTCAAATGCTCCACCTTCATGGAGTTATATACTCCAGAGGGGAGAGGCAGATAATAAACAACCAAGAAATATGTAATATTTTATTTTTATATGTGTACACAGATGATATGCCAAGTCGTGATAAGTACAACAACAAAAAAAACGCAAAGAGGGATCTAGCGTGTGGGAGTATTGAATGTGGGAGGGTTTACCTTAAATAGGGTGGTCTGGAGGTCTCACTGAGGAAGTGACATCTGGGCAGGGACCACAAGAAAATGAGAAAGCCAGCATTGTGAGTGCCCGGGGAGAAAATTCCAAGTGAGAGGACAGCAGGGCAAAGGCCTCGAGGCAAGAGTGGGCTGTGGTGCCTGAGGACCAGCAAGAAGGCCAGTGCAGCAGGAGCAAAGTAGGCAGAGTGGCAGGAGATGAGACCAGGGAGGTGGCAGTGGGCCAGATGACATGGAGCCTGGGAGGTCATGGTCAAGACTTCAGTGGCTAGGAACAGTGGCAGCAGGGGAAGTGGTGGATATATTTTGAAGGTAGAGCCAATGAAGGATTTACTGATATATTTACTGTAGAGTGTGAGTAAAGGAAACACATCAAAGGAGACCTTAAACTGGTTTTGGTCTGAGCACTGAAAGAACGAAGGTGCCATGTAGTCTTTTACTGAGCTAGGGAACGCTGTGGAATGAGCAGGTTTGGGGGGAAGAAAAGGTTTGATTTTAGATAGTATGTGGGCCATGTCTATCAGACGTCCAGGTCAAGGCATTGAGTAAGAGTTAAGCATTCAAGGCGGGTGATTCTATTAGCACTTTTCTCTGGAGGGATGGTCTCATTATGGCTATGTTAAAGAAAGGCCACCATTTTTAATGGGCAGTGGTTGAACAGACCAGTTCCATCCAATTTAATGCAGCAGTCATCCTTCACCCCAATTAAGTTCACCCTGACTTCACACCGTTACCTGTGGTGGAAATCCAGGGGGAACAAGGCAATGGAGGGTGGTGGGGAGCAGGACTTGGCAGCAGGCCATGGTTGGAACTCCAGGAAGGCAGATGGGGCCTTGATCCCACAATAGAGCTTTGGTCCTTGGGGAGCCTGGAGAGAGTCAGGTGAGATCCCGGGCCCAGATCGGTGTCCTCGACCGTAAGCATGGTGACACCTTGAGCAGAATGAGGAAGCAGGAAGTGGAGCCAGCTGTTGGAGCAGACGAGTTCTCTTGTGAGTACACTGATCTTTAGGTGGAGCATCCAGATTCCTTCTCTGTGGCCCCTGAGCTGCCTCACCTTAGGTTCGCCAACCCCTCACCCTTCTCCTTGCACAGGAATCCCCTCTCTGATTCCAGCCTGTTCCACCTGTTCTCCCCGCAGCAGCATGGCTTTCCAGTCCTCTCAAGTCAGCAGCCCCTCCGGTTCACAGGCCTCCCTGCCAGCCCTGCCCTCCCCAGGGCCCCTCACCCCACCGACAGCTTCACACCCACTCTAGAACTGAACCTGAAATCGCCAAACAGCCACCGCAGACACTTTCTGTTCTCTGAAATAAATCAAGTCTCCTCCTTGTTCCTGCTGCATCACTAAACAGGCACAGCTCGTGCCTTCTGAAGCCACTGTCCCTTCTTATTACCCTGCTGTCTGAGAACCTAATCATCCTGGGTACTCTGTGAGCTTTAGAGAGAGACCTGCTTTACCGAAGGGAGCCTTTACATCAAAGACAAAACAGGAGGATGGACCAGGGCTCACAGAGGTGGGGATGGGGAGGAATTAGGAGGAGCAGGGGATCGCAGAGGAAGTCACCCCCTTCAGCCAGGGAACTGTGTGCTTTGTATTTCACAGAGGGGCAGTCTCTTTTGTCACCCAGTTGTAATTTGCAACACTCTGTACAGTTCACAGGCAAGGAACAGAATGTTTCGCCCAAGGATGATTCCGCCCCTGTGGAGCCAACCCACGGCCATGGCCTTCTGAGCAGGGGCATTAACTGAGCCAAATGTGCAGGAAAAGAACTAATGAGGTGCAGGGCCTGGAGGTCGGTGAGCTGGGTGGTGAGGGATGTGTGTGTGTCCCGGTAGCAAACTTCAGGGCCTTGGGGTGGGTGCCTCTAGAAGAACAACACACCCTCTGCTTTTCTTACTTGATTCAGGCGACGTCGTTGACCACCGCCAAGAGGCTGCATGGGGCCCAGCTCAGAGTCCAGCTCAGAGGGGTGACAAAGAAGAGAGTCCTTGACACTGCCCTTGAGATGTCCATAGTCTAATTGTGACAATAATATATTTAAGAACTCGAGGCCATTTAGAAGATGAAGAGAAGATATTAGGGAGGTGGGGTGAGGGTATAGAAAAACTGAGGTGCCCCAGCCTGCTGTGTGACCTTGAGTCTCCTTAACATCTTGGCTCCTCAGCTTCCCTGTCTAAGAAATGAGGTCAATGCCATCTGTCCTTTTTCATTTAGGCCTTGCGTGGTGAATGAAGTGACAGGTGGAGGGTCCTGCAGAGGAGAGAGAACTGGAACGTGGGCCTGCCGTGGGAGGTTTCTCTCTGCCCACTTCCTGTCCCTTCTTAAGGAATGCTCAGAGCAGGGGACTTTATCCCTCCTCATCCCAAGCTGAAAAGTTAAGCAAGATGTGACCTTGCTATGTGAGATTTGATAATCAAAAATCCAATGGTTAGTCTAGCCTATCTCTGTAAAGAAACACAAGAAACTGGTAACACTGCTTTTCCCTGGGGAGGAGAGCCGGGCAATTGAGTGAAAGGCGTGGGAGGGGTGTTTGTTTTCTCTGCATTAAACTCTTTTATACATTTTTAATTTAATCTCATGTGATTGTAATATCTAATAAAAGATAAATAAACACAGGAGGGATGCTAGTGGTTCCAGGGATTGGTTCAGGGTTGGGGCAGAGCCAGGAGCTGGCTTTGCATTGGGTTTTCTCCTCCAGATTCCTCTTCTCTGACCGTGAGGGGTCGGTGAAGGAGAGGAGAGGAGACAAGAGGGCTCAGAGCACCGTGCAGGCTGGGCCTCGTGTGGCCCCCGGAGCTGTGTGTCTCATCTCTGAGTCCTTCCAATGAGAAGGGCACAGCTGCTCCCTCTTCACCTCCAGCTCCATCACAGATCTCCCCGCCAGGCCTGAGAGCCCGAGTCAGGGAGGGGCGGGTGTGGTTGGCACAGGCTGTACCCTCCAGAACAGGGCACTGTGTGCTCACCTGCCTGCGAGCCTGGGCAGCCTCAGCTCACCAGCCTCAGAAGTTGCGTCAGCAACAAGAACTGCTGAGAGAGTGGGCGAAGGTCATGAAGATGTGCAGACAGCCACCCAGAGAGGGTCAAGCACGGCCGAGGGGGAAGGGTAGACCCAAGGTAGATGGGGCAGGTGACAAAGACGGCTTCATTCAATGCTGGTATCAACAGGGACGCCAGTAATGGCCACTGCCACTGGTCCCGGGCCAGAATTGGAGAGGCCAGTCCTGAAGCCTGCCTCAGCCCCCAGGCAGCAGCCACAACCCAGCGGGAACTAGCCTGAGGTTGGCGTGACCAATGAGCCTTTGTCTGAGTGAGCAGCTGAAGGGCAGGAGCTGCAACTCCAGTGCTCTGAGTACCCTCCCTTCCGGATCTCAGTGCCCCCAGAACCTCTCCAGGCCTTCCCAGACAGGCCTGGCCCCCAGCATGCCTCTACCCCAAATCCACAAGTCCTCTTCTCCCAGCCTCCTCCACCTGCTCCTCCTTCCCCAGGAGAAAAGTTCCTCTGTCTAAATGGGTCTCCAGTGACAAGCAAGCCTGCCTCTCGAAGCCTGCTTCCCACTCAGGCGCTTGCCGGCAAGAAGACCCTGCGGGCAGGACTTCCGGTTCTGCCACTTAAACTCTCTGGGCCTTAGCTTCTTCATCGAGGGCCTCCCTACGTCACAGCACTGTGACTAGGATCCCTTGAAGCACTAATTAATCATGAAAGCATTTTGAGGCACACACGTTATCCGCGTTGTGCTATTACATGTTATGTGATTATTACCGAGCTCTTAGTAAATAGCTGCCGAATGAATCCTCATCCTGAGCTGATGATGCCTCGAGGGTCCTTGAGAGGGTGGTAGGGCCCTGGCATTCCTACCTGGGGCGTGGGCATCAAGACTAAGAGGTGGAGGCAGGTGGAAGAAAGTCCATCCTTCTAATGGGATAAGAGACTTGCCAGGGCTGTCTGACCTCTCCCTGAAGGAGAAGTGGGCTGGCATGGATAGAGCCTGAGGGCCAAGGGGTACCCAGGTTCTCCATTTCCACTGGACAGGCCCCCTGGAGGCAGGGCTCCGAGTCCCAGTACTGTTCAAAGGCTGCCTGTGCAGGGGAGTGGGGTTGACTCCAAAATGCTCAGTGCTGCCCTAGCACCAAGCAAGGCTTGCTCCCAGAGCCTTACGCGGCCCTGCTCTGCTTCCAGAAGAATGGAGCCAGAGACCTAGGAGGGCTGAAGCAGACAGGAATGAATGGGTATGTTTTCTAGGATGCAAGAAGCTCCACGTGCCGGAGACAGACTGAGCTCACCCGTCCCTGGCCTTGCATCAGCTACAGAGCTGGCTGCCAGGCCCTGGGAATTAGGCTCCCAGGAGCCTCCTGGCCTTGCCTCTTGCTCTCAGGGAGAGGGTGGCAGGGAGGAGCAGGCAAGCATGGGGCTCCACAGGCCCTCCATTTCCAGACCATCCAGGTGCCCCAGCTCCCAGCTTCCCAGGCAGTGAACAGCCTGGTGATCAAGGGCAGGCACAGCCGAGGGCACTGGGGCATCACCCAGCCTGCCCAAGGTCTCCTTGCCGGAAGCCTTCCTGAAGTTGGTGGCATCTACCAGGTAGATTTGGGGACTTTGGGCTGGGTTCCTCTCTGGCCCCTGACATCGTTGCTTTAAAAATGACCTTCCATGGGGCTGGCCCCGTGGCCGAGTGGTTAAGTTCGCGCGTTCCGCTGCAGGCGGCCCAGTGTTTCGTTAGTTCGAATCCTGGGCACGGACATGGCACTGCTCATCAAACCACGCTGAGGCAGCATCCCACACGCCACAACTAGAAGGACCCACAATGAAGAATATGCAACTATGTACCGGGGGTCTTTGGGGAGAAAAAGGAAAAAAATAAAATCTTTAAAAATAAATAAATAAATAAATAAAAACGACCTTCCACCAACAGCTGCAGCTACAGGCGCGGGCAGCAAGTGTATTAGGGAGACTTCTGATGTGGCCTTTCACCTCATGCTTGATTTATTAACGATTTGACTCAGCGTTGAAGGTGACAGGAGGTTCACAGAGGGCCTCCTGACCCTGCCGTTCTCCACAGGGCCCAGCCCCCGTGTTTAGGATTAAGAGCATCCGTGAGAGCCGCCTGCACCTCCCGGTCCCTGGATCCGCTTGGAGCGCAGAAGTGTGTGCGTGGGGGAGAGGAGTCTGGTCTACGTGTTCGTGCAATGACAGCTCCCCTTCCTCTCCCCTCTTCCTGGAGCTTCTCAACAAGGGCATGTGGAGTTGAGGGGTGCTCAGCAGGGCACCCCCCCAACCCTCCTCCCTCTCTGGCTCTCTTGCCAGCTTCCTGCTCCAATCCCATCAGGCCGGCTGTCTCTGATGTCCTGAGAGCTGAGCTGAGGGCAAAGGAAAGGCGACCGGAGAAGGGGCCAGAGCAGAGCAAGCAGGCTGGGCAGCAGGGCTACAAGGCTCATGAGGGGCCTGGGGCAGCCCTCACTTAGTGCTCTGGCCTCTCCTGGACTCAGTTTCCAAGTCTCTCTCCCTTAATCCCTTTCCACCTCCAGGCTAGACCCTTTCCAGGGTGCTAGTGAAAAAGATGTATACCCCAGGGGCTGGCCCTGTGGCCGAGTGGTTAACTTCGAACGCTCTGCTTGGGGGGCCCAGGGTTTTGCCGGTTTGAATCCTGGGAGCGGACATGGCACCACTCGTCAAGCCATGCTGAAGCGGCATCCCACATGCCACAATTGAAAGGACTCACTACGAAAAATACACAACTACGTACCGGGGGGCTTCGGGGAGAAAAAGAAAAATAAAATCTTAAAAAAAAAATGTATACCCCATCCCCCAGTCACAGACCCCTCTGCCTCCCTGAGCCTTCATGTCCTTATCTATGACATGAAAAGACAGGACCAGATGGCCTGGGCCTCCCCAGCCCAGGTGTTGTAGGAGTCCAGGATATCCTTCTTCAGCCAGAACTTCCATCTCTTTCCAGGCTCTCCCCCGACCCAGCCCCCCCTGGATATCTGTTCTCTGGGTTTTGCTCCCGGTCTATGACTTTCTGTCCTTCTAACTTCCAGGCCCGCAGGGAGGCTGAGCTTGATCCACTCATTATCTGGGGACAAACATTCTGCTATTCGAAACCCACGCCTGCCTTTTCTAAACTGTATCTCCTGGATTATCGTTTAATCCAGAGTCCACTGTGGAGGGGGCGCCTCTCCCCAGGGAGCACATAGGCGAGCTCAGCGGAGAGCGCAAACGTTATGTGGCTGAGCAGGGAGGGTCGGGTGGGTATATGCGGGGGAGGTAGAGGGTGTGAGAGACACAATCCCGGGCGGGGATACTGGCCCCAGAGCCCCAAGGATCTTGGAATACTGGAGTTGAAAAGCCCTTGTAAATTATCTAGGCCAATCCCCTGCCCCTCTCACCCCATTTTATAGGTGAGGCCCAGCAAAATCAAGTGACCTGAAAGAAAGTATAGTTTAATACCAAAAAAGGAGGAAGAACTTGATTTCCCTTTAAAGGATGGTCCTTTAAATGAAATAATTTTGCTTCAGGAAAAGCTCAGTCCACAGTTTGTGCTTTTCTCCTTTTTTGTCACCGACTGGTGACGTCATCATCATGGTCCATCGGTATTCTGAGGACCAGATTTGGAAATCACTGTCCCGAAGTCCTTCTGCTCCCAACGCCCTCTCTCTCCTCAACCAGATTTGCAAGGTAAAGAAAGGGTACATCTGGGAGAATTTAGATCAAAAGCACTTTGAAGATGACCTCAGTATCCCCATAAATCGTCACTGCAGCCACAAGGGCCACAGGATCGCAGTCACTCAGAGTGGGACACAGGCAGGAACTCCTCCAGGGGCCGGGGCTGGACTTACTCCACGCTGAGCAGACTGCGGTAGGCAGGTAGCGGCTGGCTCCTCTCACATCCTTCGTATTTGAGGAGGATTCTTGAAGTACCGATTCTGGGAAGACAGTGAGTGTGCTGGGCCCTATCCTGGTGGAGAAGGGCAGTTTTTTATGTCTCCTGACAGGGTCCTTAAAGACTGGGAGTGAATGAGGGCATGGGGACTTCAGTAGCTGTGGAAGGAGGAGTGGGAGGTGAGTTTGGCGTCTGGCACATAGCATGCACTCGATAAAGAACTTGTGAATGATGTGTGGAAGGTGTGGTATAGTTTATGGTGAATAGACAGCCAGCCAAACAAGCCTGAATTCTGGTTCTACCACTAACTGCTCTGTACTTCAGACAAATTCCTTATGTCCCCAAATTCCAAGGACACAAGTGCCTGTACCAAGCAGGAGTCTTCTTTACAAATATCAGAAGCCATATTGCCACTAGCTTACACCAAAAAGGAAATTTCTAGCTCACGCAGCTGAGAGAGGCACTATGGGGAAAGCCAGGATGGTTTTTCTCCTTGTCTTTGCCTGACCTCTGTACGCAGGCTCTGTCGCCGTGGTGGGGCACGTGGCCATTGGCAAAGATTTGAAAAGAGGGCTTCTCTCTCTCCACATCAACATATCCATCTCAGAGAAGGCTTTGAGTGGGCCTGTTGTGGTCCCAGCCAGACCTAGTTCACACACCTGGTCCCATGGTGGGGAAAGTGGGCTGTGTTACCAGGAGGAGGGGGATGGGAAACCCAGGTGGGCAGAGAAAATAATGACGGTGCCTACAATGCCTGAAGGTCACGTGGCAGAGGGGTGCTGGAGAAGCCCAGATCAGAGGGAGCCCCTGAGAATGGAGCCTGCAGGGAGGGCCAGCACCAGGCTCTGCCTCTCCACAGTCAGGACTGTCATTAGGAACCAATCATTCGGCTCTACTATATGCCAGGCTCTGTGTTAGGCTAAGTACATGTCACGTACATATACAATTTCTCATTCTCACAACAACTCTAAGAAGCAGGTATCATTAGCTCCATTTTAAAAGTAAAGAGACCACGGTTAGGGCCACACAGGTAGTGAGTGACGGAGCCAGATTCAAACCTGGGTCCTTGGGACTCCAGAGCCCATGTTTTTGTGGCAGTCAGCCTAACTCTTTAGAAACCAAAGCAGAAAGCTTGCTGGACGGTTGCATCGAGCACACTCAGAGCCCCGGCGGGTGGGGTCTTGTCTGGGGGTAGCCACGACATTCACGCCCTTCCCCACCTCACACTTCACCCTATAGGTCCTTCCGGGCCATTGGAGACAGGCAAACCACTCTTGGCAATCCATGGGCTTCTTCACCAAATGGCATTTCTCCAGCACTTGATCCCCCAGTTGGTGATTAGCTAGGGCTAATCTTCCTCAAAAAAAAAGAAGAAAAAAAAAAAGAATGTTCCTATCATCACAGAAAGTTCTATTGGACAGCACTGGGTTGGACTGTTCTCTTACAAAGGAAGCCCTGATCAAGGACTGTTATCAGCTTTAGAGGAATCCAGGGCGAACTCAACCTATTCAATGACTCTTTCAACAAATACTTGGCACCTACCGTATTCCAGGTCCTGGATACACAATAGTGGGCAGTAGCAGCAGTTGGTCCTGTCCTGAGGGTGGAAAGGCAATCGCTAGGTGGTGTCCTAAGTGACTGAGGAGGCCGGGCTGGGGGAGAGAGCAGGCTTCCTGGAAAAGGGGACATCTGAACACAGACCTGCATGCTGAGGAGGCACCAACGAGGCTGAGTCACTCTCCAACCATGCTCTTGGTGGCACTCAGGGCCTCTTATTACAGGCTGTCGCCAGTGCCTGGACTGCTCCTCTTCTCTTTTTCCCCAGGCAGGGAAGGAACGGAGGCTAGATCCTTAACGTCAGTCCCCCAGCTGGGACCAAGCCCAGAGTCCCCACTGGGCCACTACCTCAAGAGCTCTGTGCTGTGGCCTCTATTATGCATGCACAGGCCACGTGGTTTTAGGGCCAGGTAAATTCAGAACTCTGTAAATACAGGCCCTAGGGCCTTGTGGCCATAGGGTGGAGGCTTCCTCAGGAGAAGTCAAACCTGCAAATCTGGTGCGGAGGCAGGAGTCTCAATGTACCCTGAGGCCCACTCCAAGGTGGGCCCCCACCCTCTCCAGCCCCTTTGTTCCCCCTGGGCTGGGGAAAGTGACTAGGAGACAAGCCACTCCCATCCAGGGCCGGGAGAGAGCCAGGGCCGGATAACCAGGCTGTCTTGGGATTTCCTATCTCCCCGCTTCTGCTAGAGCCCCAGTGCTAATCCCCTCTCCATATACGCAGCGGTGCCCACCCTGGCTCCGCCCTGTGCCAGCTGCCCCATCCTGCTCCTCTTCCTGGTGCTCTGGCCGGAACTACATCCCTGCTGTGACTGGAAAGTGGCAGCTCAGTGACCCGAAATCCTGTGCATGTTTATGTGGGAGAGGAGCTAGAATGCGGCCCGACAACCCTGTGCTGTCCTCACCGCTCTACATGGGACGCCTCCCTTAAGCCTCCTAACCCTAGGATAATTGCGTGGGGACGATTATCTTCACCTCTATTACAGAAACAGAGGTTCAGGGAGGGTCATTTGCCAGAGCCAGCCGTGAGGAAGGAACCTGCAACACTCCACGGCCCAGCCCGGACCCGACATCGCCCACCCCGCCTCGCACTTGCATTTCAGCGTCCTCAGGCCTGCCCTCCCTCCCCAGCTCCCTGGGAGGCCGCGCTCCCCGCCCCGGGCCTCAGCAGGATCCGGCGCCTCCCTGCTCGCCCTGGGCACCGAGGGTCCGTAGGGACAAGAGTGCGGGGCCCCGGTTGGGGTTGGGGCCGGGCCCTCCGTGCCAGCCTGAGCGCCCGGTGGCCGCTGAGCCGCCCTTTGTTTCTCCGCGTTCCCGGCTTGTGCAGAGTCACGGTCACATGGCGCTTCCAGCAGCAGGAGCTCCAGGCGCCGCGCCAGGGCCCGGGGACGCCCCCGCCCCTCGGCCTGGCCCCGCCCCCCCGCAGGCCGCAGGCCGCGCGTCGATCTAGGACCCGCCCGCCTCGGCTGGGCCTCCTGGGCCACGCCCTGTCAGGCCGCGCTGCTCCGATGGCCTCTAGTCCTCTCCTGCTGAGGTTTCCACAGCTTCTGATCCTCGCACTGGCGCGGCCAATACCTAGTTGTTTCCCGGGGTCTGCCTGTCTCGTGTACGCTAGACGACACCAAGTGAGCAAACTCAGGCTCTGCCTCACTGGGGGAGCACTGGACGGTAAACGGGGGGTGACAAATCCTTCGTTCCATTGTCATCATTTAATGGGATGGCAGAGACAGCCTGAGCCTCTCCGACCCCCCCACCCACCCAAACAAAACAAAACAAAACAAAACAAAAACCGGCCCCCCCGGGGCTGACCTCCACCATCTAAGGGCAAAAAACCCAGTCACTGGGCAGAAATGGGGCTGGCCCTGCCTGGCCTGGCCTGGCCACCACGGCTCCATCACTCCCAGGCCCAGTCTGTGCCCTGAGACACTTGAGCGCCTTGGAGCCTCATGGAGGCCATTTCTGCTTTGCTCAGCAGATTCAAGAATTCAGTCAACAAATATTTATTGAAAGCGAACTTTGTGCAGGGCGACCAAGTCCTTCCCAGATGCTAGCTGTGTGTTATGCTACCAAGAGGATGCGAGAGGATTCTCTTTGTGTCCAAGCAGTGCCTGTGCTGTTCCCCTGAGGCTCAGCTTCCCGGAAGAGGACTTCATCCAGAGCAGCTTGGGAGGCCCTAGTAAATGGGCAGACACAGCCATTCCTGGGGGCTGGGAATGGGGGCCCTGCCTGACCCCTGCTCCCCAGCCTTGGAGATGCAGCAGCGAGTGGCACTGCCAGGCTCGGGGTGAACATGGGGTGGGATCTCCGAGGCCCTTTCTGTTTCTGGGCAACCTTTCCCGATGCCTCTCATCAGGGCCTGCAGGGACTGGGGCAAGGGACAGGGAGGGCCTGGAGGGGTGGAGACCTGGGAGACAGCCCAAGGTAAACGGGACAAGGAGCAAACTATGGGGCCAGAGGTGGGTGTGTACTTCCGCTGTGGTGTCAGGGCTTGGTGGGGAAGAGCAGGCAGGTGAGCTGCCGGCTGCCGCTGTGTCTGTCCACGAGGGGCAGGGGCTGCTGCATGTAGTGCTGGATAATGGCGGCCACAGAGGAGAAGAGCTGGACAGGGAGGCAGGGCGTCAGTGAGTCCCTTGAGCCTCGTGCCCGGAGAAGCTTCCTGAGGGAACTGTGGGCTCGGCGAGGGGGCTCGTTGACATTTTCCTAAATATTTCCCTTCCTGTTTGCCCCACGAAGCTCCACTGCCATTCTGCTGCCCAGTTCCAGGCCTCAGGCAGCCTTCCTGTGACTGCACCTGTGGGCATGTTATTGGCCAGACTCATATTTCCAAGGCTGGATGGAAAGAACTGTGGGGACGTGTCTGCCGCAGTCCTCCAACATGGGGAACCAAGTGCTGGGTCACTGTCTCTAGTTGGCAGCCCAGCAAATGCTGGGTACAAAGTTGAGTCCTTGGCACAGACAGGAGTCTGGACTACCTGGGCCCTGCCCTCCTCCTAGCTGGGTTCACTATAGGTACGAATGCCCCGACCTGGGCCCTGTGCAGACTGAGCTGTGCAGGAGGAGGTGCCTCCCCCAGAGGAAGGCGGACCTCTGGGAAAGAATTCAGGTCACTGGCCACTGTCATTTCCACCCACTCCAGAAAAATATAAATGTGGGTTTTCCCCAGGCACATGCTCCTGACTGGGGCCAGGTATCTCCTCCAGCACGCACCTCCTCGTGGTTCTTGCCCTCCCGGCCCAGGGCATAGTGGCGCCCACCATCCAGCTGCCGGATGGGAATGTTGAAGACCCGACCGTGGAGAAGCACTGCCAGGGTGAAGGGCTGGGAGCCATGAGGCCCTGAGCTGGGGCGCACGGTGTAGGCCCCGTCCTGTGGAGGAGACCCCATCCATCAGCTTCATCTTCCAGCTGTCCACCTGCAGCCCTGACCCATGATGCCAGACCCCCTCCTTGCTCTCCTGCCCCCGCCTGCTCTGCCAGCCACAGCCCAGGAGCAGAAAGGGTTTCTGAGAAGGCCCAGGGGGTCTGTGGTTGCCCACCTTTTGGAATCGGAGCAGGGCACTCTCAACAGCATGACGGTCACAGTTCCCCGAGTACCAAGGCTGACCCAGCAGGCTGCCGTCCTGGAATACCCCACAGCTGCTCGGAGATGTGCCAGGGCATGGCGGGGGGCTGGGAGCACACAACCCCGGTTGCAGTGATCTGTGTTCATGTCCGCCTTCCCCAGACTGAGTCTGTGCAAGCAGAGCGAAGATGTGTCCATGCCTGTGCCCAGCACGGGGTGGCACACACACGTTCACCACGTGTCCCTTGCAGGGGTGGACACCAGCCTAAGAGAGTTCCCAGAAGGCCTCGTCCCCCAGTCCTCTCCCAGCCCTCCTCACCTCAGCAGCTGAGGTGCTCCAGGTGGGGGCTACAGAGGAAAGAGAGGCTCTCCTTCCTGCTGGAAGAAGTGGATTACAGAGCTGGGGCCAGGAGGGGATTAAGCAAAGGAGGCTTGGGGCCCAGCTGCAGGGGTGGGGGAGGTTGCACGGGGGTGTGCCTAGGCCTGAAGCCCAAAGCAGGGCACCCAGTGCTTCACCCCTCCTCTCCAGGTCTTGGGCTCCAAGAGGACCCACCAGCTAGGCCACACGTGACCTCTGAATGAGGGATGATCTCCAGGTACAGGCTGGGAGTTTCCTGCTTTGCTGCAGAGCCTGGAAAATGCCCACCGGGGTCCCCTCAGGCCTGCTGGAGTCAGAGCTGCAGGGACCCCTCAGAAAAGTGGGGCAAGAGAGGCTAGGAGGGGGACTTGCAGGGCTGCGGCGGTGGCTGGGGGGTGGGGTGGGGGGGCACTGGCAAGACTGCCGAGGTTCATGCTGAAGTTGCCTGTACTCACCTTTAGAGGCGGCATTCGCTGCTCCCTGGGACAAAGGAGGTCTGGTCAGGAGAAACTTGGCCCTACAGGCCTGCCCCCCTGAACCCCACCCTCCCCTCCCAGCTCCCTTCTCCCTTGACCACCAGTCTCTTACATTCCGAGCTTCCTGGGGGGCTGGAGTGGGCCTGTGGGGAGCAAATTGGGGAACAGAGCTCAGGGTCTTTACCTCCTTCAAGAGAAAGAACCCAGGGAACCCGGTGATGCTGAGCCAGGGCTGGGGAAGCCTGAGTTAGCCATTTCTCTCTCACACACACACAAACACGTACACAACTGGTGGGGTACTCACCTGGGCACCACTGATGTCCTAGGTAGAGGGACTGGGGGCGTCAGGACTTGGGAGCTCAGAGTCTGAGTCAAGGCTGAGACTAAAACAGAGAGGGCAGTCTGGGCTGGGCTGGGAACCAGGCAAGGAAATCCATGCCGGCCAGGGAGGGGCTGAGGACAGCTGTAGGGCCCGCGCTTCTCTGCAGCCTAGGCTGTCTGGGAGTCCTTCAGACCAGGGGCAGTGCTTTCTGGCCACACAGCTGGGAAGACCCACACAGCCCTTGTTCCTTGTAGGCTCAGTGGGGGTCAACCTGGACCAAAGGCGGAAGCATGGGTGTCCATGCGGGGTCTGAAGGCACATGTGTGTTGGTGGGGGTGGCGAGAGAAGACAAAGGAGGAAGATGGAGCCAGGAGAATATGTGGCGTTGGGGCAGCTATGGGCCTCAGGGCAGCATGGATCTGGGGCAGAGGGAGGCGTTCACCTGCATTGGGCTCACACTCCAGGTAGACGTCCTCATCAGGTTTCTTTGGAGGGCCTGGCACCTAAGGTAAGGAGGGGTGTAAGGGACCAAGGGTTTGACCAGTGAGTGGGAGGGAGAGCGAAGCCATCACCTAGGGGGCTATTGGCACCTCACTCCCCCCTCACAAGGTGGACCTCTTTCTGGGAGCCCCTTTCTGGAATGATTAAAATTGCCCCTTTGCCTGGAAGGGAGCACCGCATCAGTACCTTCCCCTTTAGAGGTGCCCATAGGCCCCAGCTCTCAGAGAATGTGGGCATCCAAGAGGAGATCCCAGCAGGGCCCTCCCCTGTAGCCCTGGGCAACATCCTCAGGACAGCTGTCTCACCCCCTGCCAGGAGCCTGTGGCACACGGGAGGGACTCTGCTCTGTGCCTTTTTCCTTGGTTTCAGAAATATTTTCTGGCCCTCCTTGGCGGCCCCACCCCAACCCTGCCAGCCTCCTAGCCAGAACCCTAGAGTCTGAGGTGGGAATTGAGGGGCCACTCACCACTCTGGCCGGTGCGCCCAGCTCTGGAAGGCAAAGGAGAGAAGCACCAGCCATGAGTGCAGGGAGAAAGGAATTCAGTGAAACTTAGGCGGGAAGAGTGGAGTATCCTCGGGCTTACCTGAGGAGACCCTCAGAGCCACCTTTGAAGCCCCAGGAGGAAGCCACCTCACCCCCGATCACCTTTCTTCACAACCCCCGTGATGTTGCCTGGCTTGACCTCCCAACTGATTTGCCAGGCTTGGCTCCAAATGACCTTGGGCTGTTCCCAAAATCAAAACTGCCCTCAAGGTCACGAAGTTTTACCAGCCACTGAGCACAGTAAAAATGAATGTGCCTCAGGTCAGCTGTTTGACCTTGGGCAAGAGGAGGCTGCCCCTCCTGGGGCCACTTTCAGACAGAAAACGTGCTGGCTGAGGTCCCTCCCTGTCCCAACATTCCAGGGTTCCAAGGTCGCAGGCCCCCTGGCACTTACCATAGGGGAAAGTCTCTGGACAGTGGTGGCAATAAGGACATGGATGGAATCAGAGACTGGTGGCCAAAGGGCCCCATGGATGAGGGATGACACTCAAATGTGTCTCAGTAGGGAGGGTCTTCCAGGCAGAGTAGGCTGCCTTTCAGACCTCTTCATCCTGGGGTGTCCCTCCCCTGACCCAGAGAGCCCAGCAGGAGCAGGACGGGCCCTGGGGTTGGGGACTCTGCTTCTCTGTTACCTCAGGCAAAGCATTTCATGTCTCTAGGCCTCAGTCCCTGCCTTGGGGGGACCGGCAGGCAAAAGTGAGGAAGAGCTGGGCGAGTGCAGTGACCAGGCAGAGAGCCCAATGTAAGGCAGCTTGGTCTACCCCGTGGGGGCCAGGACTCCCTTTCTCAGGGTGGGGAGTGGGGGGCCCTGGGAAAGAGATAGGACATCCCGGTGTTACCTCTCCTCCCCACGGGCCAGCCCTGCTTCACGGCCTCCTGCAGGCTCAGTGCTGCCTTCAGCTGTGGGCACAATCGGCAGTGAGGGAGACCGGCGTGGGGCCGGGGTGTGGAGGGGGAGTGGAGGCATTGGATGGCAAGGATGGTGGAGTGGGACGTGATGGGGTATGTACATGTGGGCAGCTTAAAAAACACTACAATGCAGAGTTAATGTACAAAGGAGGCGACTCGTCTCTTTGCCTCCATTCTGTGGCTCTCTCCTTGTGGTGAATCTCTCCTGTGTTTCTTTTTATTCCAATAAAATATATGATGAAAGTGGTACATTTCAAAGCCCATAAACCGGGTCATGGCGTCAATGAGAGCTGGCAGCGATTGGCAACTGAATGAGGGTTTTCTTCACTGTCTAGGCAGGGAGGGGTCCTCAGGCCCCAGGGTCCAGGGAGGGGCAGCCGAGCCTGTCCCCTCCCCGGCCCCCCAGCTCAGGCGAGAATGGCAAGTCCTGGGTGATGCTGATGGGGAGAGGGTGAAAGGACCAGGCCAGGCAGGTGGGAGGAGCGACTGTTAACAGGGCTCCAGCTTCTGACGCATCTAATTTTTCAGGGGCCTCTTGAATGCAGATGTGGGGGAATCTTGCAAATGAGATGCCTCTCAGATTTACTCATTGGGGAATGGGAGCCTGGCATGGGGCGGGTGGGGGAGGGGGGACTTATGGGGAGGCTGTTCACCATCTCGGGCTCAGGCTGCGGTGGTGGTGACTTGGATGGGCTCAGGGGGTGATCTGGAAAAGACCCCAAACATTGTGGGTCCGTGGGTTCCTCCAACCTAGGTTTCCATTTTCCTCCCGCCCCCCCCACCTAGCCTCTGCTTCCTCTCCCTCCTTCCCTCCCTCCCTCTCCTCCCCACTCACAGGCTTCCCGACTGCCCTGTCTCCATGGCAACTGGAGGCGGCCAGCTTCCCTGCCCCCACCTGGCCGAGTTGGGAGCCGTGGGGGTGGGATGCCAGCGGCAGCCGGGGCTCTCCCAGCACCCCCACCCTTGCTTGGAGCTGTGCTGGGATCTCAGAGGGAGAACACCAGGCCCCAGGGACCGTGTTGGGCCTCCTGCTTTCACTGCTGTTGCCGTGGTTACACTGCCCCTCCAGGCTCCTCTCCCCTTCCCACTCTTCTTCCTTTCTCCCTCCTCCCTCCCTCCTTTCCTCCATCCCTCTCTCTCTGCCCAGCCAAGAGGCCTCAGCGACTGCCAGCTGAGGCCTCCCCTCACGGCCCCAGTGCAGACCAAGGGAGAAGAGGCAAGGCCTGCGCCCTCTTCCCTTGTGGGTACCCTCCTGTCCTGCCCGACCAGCCAACCTCCCAGCCTCAACTTCCCAGCCCTCACCCAAGTACAAAGAGTCCTCTTCCACACCAGGAAGGTGGGCAGGGGCCAGACTGAGGGGCAGAGCCTCACAGGGGGGCAACTCATATTTATCCTCCTCCTCTTCCTCCTCTTCTTGGGCTTTCCAGAAGGGATGCTGAGCATACGGAGGATGGAAGAGATACAGGACCAGTGGTAGCCACTGCTTCCCCCCTCCCCCGACCCCAGGCTCAGCAGTTGGACTTACGTTGCATCTCCAGGTCCCTGGGCCAGGCAGAGGACATGAGTGGGGGGCATCCTTTCTCCAAGCTGGGGAGTCTGGACAGAAGACTGATGAGACTGGCCTCATTTCCTCCCATCCCACCCCTTCTCTAACACAATGACTTACTCTTTCTCCCCAGTGTAATAAACCATCTGCACTTTTACTGTGGGCCTCAAAGCTTCATTCGACTCAAAGGAACTATTCATGACAGGCCTTTCCAACCCTGCAGCAGGGCCAGTGAGGTAGGCATTTTGGAAACAAGGGGGCCTCCCAACTAGCTGCCTGTTCTACCTCTGCCAGTCACCCACCCCATGCACTCCCCACGCCAGGCACCCCCAATTCTGACCAACACAGGTAGAACAGCTAGGCCCCAGTGACTTAGCAGTGCTGGACTGTGACGGGCAGGAAGTGTCCAGAGCCACTCAGGGGAGACTCAAGTTGCGAGAGACCCCATTCTGCTGGGCCCCTCTTGCCCACTGTGTCACTTACCTACACCTCTAGGGGGTGGAAGGGGTGGCCCCAACCTGCAATTAGACTCTAGTTAACTCTGCCCAAGGGGTCCTTGAGTTTGTGTCAGCCAGACACTGTACAACTCCAGGACATTCGCATCCATGACAATGTGAGTGGTGCCCCCTGGAGTTGTGTTACAGCAGCCTGGGACCAGGGCAGCAGGTGGAAGAGTCTGGGGTCAGAGCTGGGGCCCGTGGGTGCACAGCTGGATGAGTGGGTATCCCAGGAAGGCAGTAGTGGGGGAGCCCTAGTGCACACAGCAGGGTGGAGGTACATGAATTGTCTCACTGGGTGGGTGGGGAGGGCCCAGGGACAGCCAGCACAGCTCCAAGGATGGCTGTGCCCAGGAAAGGGGCAGTGAGGTAGAGACTAGAGAGGAGGGCAGAAGGAAAGAGAGGAGCCTGCGTACTCACCGGGGCTTGCTCCCACTGAGCTTGTCCTGGAAAGAGTCAGGGAGGAGAGTAAAGGGGTGTCAGTGCAGCTGAGAGGCCTCTCCTTGCCCAGAGTCCTGGGTCTGTGCACCTGGGGTGCCCCAGAACTAAGTCTCACCATGGCTGAGGTGAAGGAACTATGGCTCCCTGGAGCAAAGGCTCTGCCACAAATGGCCTGGGGACAGGGGCCCTATTGTTCCCATCATTTGCATCTCGCACCAGGAAGGTGGGCCTGCTGTGGCCTCCAGCCCCAGACAGACTTCACCCATGCCACTCCCAGGGCCCAGCCCCAACTCCCCCCAGCTTCCCCCACATTGCCTCCCACAGCTGCAGTCTCCAGCCCCTCTGCCCCACAGGAGGAAGAGCTCTCCCTCCACATCCAGGCCTGCAAAGCTGGACCAAGGCTCAAGGCTTCCTTCAGCTCTCCTATCAATGTCCCCTCCTCCCAGAGGCTCAAACTCGCCTCTGAATCAGCCAGACCAAGCTCTTTCCCGATTCACCAAAGACATGACATTATTGGGCAGATCCAATTAAAAACAGGAGGCTGTCCTTGCAGACACTTTTCTTGAACCCTTTATGCCTGCTGTCTGCTGGTGAGTGGAGATCAATAACCAAGGAGATGGAAGTTAGACAAAAGCTCAGAAACATGCGTTCGTATTTCGTTTCTTTTTTTTTTTTTTCTGCTTTTTTACTCCCCAGATCCCCCCAGTACATAGCTGTACATTCCAGTTGTGGGTCCTTCTAGTTGTGGCATGTGGGACACCGCCTCACTGTGGCCTGATGAGCGGTGCCATGTCCACGCCCAGGATCCGAACCGAACCGGCAAAACCCTGAGCCGCCAAAGCAGAGTGCACGAACTTAACCTCTCGGCCACGGGACCGGCCCCTGTATTTCGTTTCTTGATGGATGTATTTATTCATTCAGTAGGTATTTACTGAACATCCACTATACGCCAGGCACTGTTCCAGGGGCTGAAGATGCTGTGGGAAAACTAACCAGGCAGGCTTTATGCATACATTTCCTCAATGGATGCTCATAATGGCCTCATAATGCAAGTACTAGTTTTAGCTCTGCTTTTCAGATGAGGGAACTGAGTGCATCCTTCAGCTTGGGCTGCCATCACAGAATACCACAGACTCGTGGCTTATACAGCAGAAATTTACTTCCTCACAGTTCTGGAGGCTAGAAGTCCAAGATCAAGGTGCCATCAGGGTTGGTTTCTGGGGAGAGCTCTGTTCCTGGCGTGCAGACAGTCTGCTTCTTGCTGTGTCCTCGCATGCCCTTCCCTCTGTGCATGCATGGGGAGAGAGGTTTCTGGAGAGAGAGCTCTCTGATCCCTTATAAGGACAGCAGTCATACTGAATCAGGGCCCCACCCTTATGACCTCATTTAACCTCAATTACACCCCTAAAGGTCCTGTCTCCACATACAGTCACATTAGGGGTTAGGGCTTCAACATTTGGGGGGACACAATTCAGTCCATAGCACTGAGGCTCTGAGAAATTGAGTGGCTTTCCCAAGGTCATGCAATTAGTGAGTGTTGGAGGTGGGATTCAACTGAAGGTTTGCCCAACCCGAGCCTGTGCACTAACCACTGGGTAATCCTGTACCTCATCTAGAATTGGGTCCTGACCCTCCTTTCCTGTGATGGAGTTAGGCACATCAGTAATCGTGGGCTTCCTTAAGAAGCCCACGACTGCCAGATGCTCTGTTCCCCAAGTGAATTCTGGAACTTTGACTTCTGAGAAGCACTGGGGTAAAAAGAGGGGCCAGTGTCTGGTGTCTGACTCTAAACCAGGGAAGGAGGAGACACAGACGAGAATCATGAAAGTAAGACCTTCCCAGGGCACCATAACTTCCTGTGTTTATTACTTTGGTGATGTCCTGGTTGTTGAAGACGTTCACTGAAGAAATGAAGGCTGTGGCTTGCAGCTTTGGAGGCCATGGGGCTGGGGGCACTGGGGAGAGAGCCCCATGGCTAGAGTCGGCCACAGTCTTCAGAGAGGGAGACGAGATGAATCCTGGGACCTGGAGGCACAAGGGCACTGAAGAAGCTACAAAAAGTCATTGAGTGGCTTAAAGGGAGTGCATTTGGGGCAGTGGGGCAAACTGGCAAATAAAAACAAAGATACGGTCTGGGCCTGAAGTCAGGGACCTGGGTCTCCTCCTTGACCTCCACTCCCCAGCTGACCTTTGTTCCACGTTTGGACCATAAGGCAGGGGGAAACCTCCCTCACCCAAGGGGACCTCCTATGCACCCGAGTCAGCAGGTCAAAGTCAGCAGGAGGCTCCAGGCACCACTCCTCTGCAAACCCCAAACCGAGCGGGTTTCCCAGTCCATACCACACTCATCTCAGCCACTCCTTCCTCTGTTCAGGGTTTTGCATAGGCAAATGCCAGGGCCTGGCTGAGCGAAAGGGCCCCAGGCAGAGGATGGAATCTGTGCCATCTGGGTGCGGGCAGTGGCCTGGACAGGTCAGGGAGAAGGGGAAGGAAGGAGGCCACCTCCTGGCTTTGTCTCACCCCTGCTGGCCCTGCAGGACTGTGCTTCTTGCTAATTGCACAGGCAGATTTGGACAACCTCTTTCTCCATCTTTGGCACAGGATTGCTTTGTGCACAACCATAGCAATTCCCTCGGGATGAATTCCTAGAAGTAGAATTGCTGGAAACTCCCATTTTGAAGGTTTCAATGCCCCATTGTCTGGCAGAACCTGAGTGCCTATTTCAAGGTCCTGCCACAGCACACAGTGGCTCCCCACATTTTCCAGATCTCAGCCACTGATCTCCAATGAGAATAGCTCATAAGTCACAGGCCCAAGGTTGTCTAAACCCGCCCTAAGAAAACAAACAAATGGGGGGCATTCCCCCATTTGGTGATCATAAGACTCACTGGAGAACTTGTTAGAAGTCTTAGATTCCCAGACCTTTGCTGAGATTTTAAAGAATTGGATGTTCCAGGGGCCCGCCCCCTGGCATAGTGGTTAAGTTCTGCATGCTCCACTTCAGTAGCCCGGGTTTGTGGGTTCGGATCTCAGGAGTGGACCTACACCACTCATTAGCCATGTCGTGGTGGCACCCCACATATAAAGTGGAGGAAGATTGGTATGGATGTTAGCTTAGGGCTAATCTTCCTCAGCAAAAAATAAAAATAAAAAAGAATTGAATGTTCCAGAAAGGAACTGGGAATCTATATTATTAACAAGCATCCTAGATGGATCTTATGATCAGTCAAGTTTGAGAAACTCTGCTCTATAGGAAACATGCTGAGAAGATATGACTCCTAGGACATTTTTAGAATCACATACAGCCTTTAGCTTGTTGGGAACACAGGGGACCCAGCAGAGAAGGAAGGTGACACAGACCCTGCCCTCAAGGGGCCAGTACGAGAGATGGAGAGGACAAACCCAAGGAGATGTTCAGTTTCTCTGGGTTTCAGTTTCCTCTCGTGTAAACGGGGATATGAATAAGGCATTCCTCCTGGTGGGGGGCTCCTGAGGGTTGATTGAGAAGACGACACATGAAACATAGCGTGTGTGTGCACGATAATCATCAGCTCTTCCTGAAGTGGTGGTGCCGTGGTTGATGTGGTTGTTGCCAGCAGACAGAGAAGGTGGGCAAGTCTAGCTGGGATCCCTGGTGAGAAGGAAGTGGGAAGCATTGTGAGGAGGAAGGTCTGAGGACCTGAAGGAGGACAGATAAGCAGGCTGTGGCCAGAGGTCTCAGAGGTGGGAGAGTGTGGCATATGCTGAGATGTGGGTGGCCCGACTCCTTAGGGAACAGGAGGGGACATTTGCCATTCTTTCTGGCTGTGGAGCACTTTCTGCATTTGGGGCATTCTCTACCTTATGAATCCTGGCTTCCATTCACAGAAGCCAGATGAGGCCTTCCCAGCTTCCCTTGCAGCTGGGGTACAGGCATTCTGCCAGTCAGATGCCCGCACGCTAGACTGAGTCTGAAGCAGGCACCAAGAGCCATCCACCCTGGGGAGGTGGTGACAGTTATATCCTGTTTCCAGAGGCCAAGGGGGCTGAGACCCTTATGGCACCACCCAGGGCCCGGATCAGCCGTGTTGGCAAACGGTGGTGTCTGTACCCAGACGTGCCTCCATTAGGCCAGCTTGGCGTGACTTTTGGGATTTTGTTCCCGCCTGGTTCTCTGGCCCTCCTGGAGATGCAAGGAGCTACAGAATATTTTTATAAATTGTTTTTCAGCCTAAACTAGCTGGGTCAGTTTCTCTGAGTTCCAGTCAAGAACTCTAATTCAGAGATGAAATCGCAGCATCATTTGGATCACCACACAGATGCCAAGAAGCCCAAACCGTGAGGTCATCCATAGGTGTCTCCTGGGAAGGGGAGACCAGGTAGAAATAAGTGCCATAGCTTTATACGTCTATACTCTTGGGACATTTTTATGACAAGCATTAGCTATTTTTATAATTTAAAAAGTTAGTCAATATAGATAGAAAGAAAAAAGAAGAGGGAAGGGGGGGGTGACCTGGATCTCAAATATGAGGAAGCACTGGGAGAAGGATGTCCTAGGGGAGGGCGGGGCCCTGGGAGTGGGAGGCGGGGCCAGGGGAGGGGGTGGTGTGGGGCCACCGCAGGACAGCCAGGTTTCCCTCCACCAGGGAAGCAGGGGGAAAGGTGGGGAAAGACAAAAGGGTGCTGATAATACAAGGATTCCTCTTCCAGGGGAATGGGAATCTATAGGGGCCTAGGGTGGGGTAGAAAGAGGGAAAGGAGAACTTGGTTTTTTTTGGTGAGGAAGATTGTCACTGTGCTAACATCTGTTGCCAATCTTCCTCTTTTTGCTTGAGGAAGATTGTCACTGAGCTAACATCTGTACCAATCTTCCTCTATTTTGTATGCGGGATGTCACTGCAGCATGGCTTGATGAGTGGTGTGCAAGTCTGCCCCTGGGATCTGAACCCGTGTACCCCAGCCATCAAAGTGGAGCACACGAACTTAACCACTACACCACCGGGCCAGCCCCAGGAGAACTTTCTGAACTTGAGGTTAGGGCCAAGTGGTGGCATGGGGCCAGGCCTGAACCCGAGGGGACGGGGAGGGGAGAGCTGGGACTGGAGAATAAGGTCCCGTGAGGGTAAGGAAGAACGAGTCCTCAGGATATTTGTACCCGAGCAGGTGGTCAAATTACAGGCCCAAGAAGTTCCTAGAGAAGGGGGCTGGGGCCAACTGAACACTGTCTCTGGTTGGGTTAAAGTGAATGTCAGGGACAATCTTGAAGGCAGGTGGTTGGCAGGAGGGAGGGAAGGGACCCTCCTAG